ATCGGGATGTAACTAAGGAAAAGCCGAGGTAACTATGACACGAAGACAATTTTGCCTTCCTATTAAAAAAAGAATATTACTCATGTAAGATAATTTATATACATATATTCCCCTTCTTTCTCTTTACCTCATTAACCAAACAATATGAAATAAGTTTCCCTCGGTTCTCCTTACTAAATCACCAAATAAGCTTTGCATGTTGCCTTAATTGTCCAAGCAAAGCTTTGTATATTACCTTAATTTCCCTTAATTTAACTTATCCTATATTCACTTAACTTCTCTTCAATCACGGTAAATCCAAACATGCCCTTATTTAAATTCTTCACTATTTCTTACCTTATATGATGTGAGACTATACTTACATATGCGTCCTTATAACAAGTTCATGCCAATTCAAATCTAGCCTTCAAAACTATAATCATATGTTTGATTACAGATTGTTAGAATTTGTCTTTCAAATATTATGAATGTGTTCCCAACGTAGTTTTTATTAGAAATTAGGATTTTCAAATTATTTGCAGTTCCATACATAATTGGGATCTTTCCACAATTTTTTAACAAAAGCTTGAACTTGAGTAAAGACATAAGTTTCATTGCAAACATTTGGGATCTTTCCACAAATTCTTGACAAAAGCTTAAAATTTAAGAACAATTTAAATCATAGTAGATCAACTAGTCATTTGCATTGTATATCGACTAGAGATGTGAGGATCCAGTCGAGTCCTAAAGTAATTAAAAAAAACCATATAAATTAACAATTCAGTAAAATGAATAAACATCAAATTATCTACATACAGTCTTGAGTTTCCTTATGAACAAAATAAGTAGGTTATTTACTGTCTTTGATAAGATTCATCAACTAAACTCATATGAAATGTTATCGTGTATATATGTAGAGAGGAGAAATTTTTGAGGAGCAAAGATCAAAAAATTCTGTAAAATATATTTGATATTCAATTTACAGGCTTCTTCACACATTTCTTTGTGTGTAATTTCTGCAAATTGCAATACCCAGTTATTTTTTAGGCATACTCAACTCATCTCAACCTGTAATTCTCCTTCAATTAATACAGGTCAAGGTACTCATACTTCTAATCAAATTCCTGCAAATAATTTCCTGATATTAACTTACACAAGTTGCCTACTCTCCCATAAATCTTCATAAAGACATGGAAATGGAACCATGGAATCAAAATTCTCCTCAGTGCCATAATCACAAGCTAACGCATCAAATCCATAAAATTGGCCTGCAGGAGATAATGGCTCCACCAAACCGAAGCCATCGTCGATAGATGAAGTACCGTAAGAATCAGTGGTCAAGGTATCAAAAGACTGATCCTCTTCATCCTTTTCTTTCTCTTTGAGCACCGGGCTCGGTGCATCTGAACCGAAATCAATACTTTGGTCTGTATCAACATTTGAACCGAAGTCGATAACTGTGAACTCCGACTCAGCAGAGAGTTGAGGGCTAGAGCACCGTGCCCTTGAATTGCAAGAGTGTTCCATATTGCTGGAGATGACTTCATACTGAGGTGGATAGGTTGGGTTTTTAATTTGTTGAACTTGTTTCTTTGCTTTGCAATCATCATATGTGCATCTGTAATAGGACCTGCAATCAATAATCACCCTATATTTAGTAAACCGGGATTTTGTTATTCCAATATTTTATGCTGATATATAGCAGCGTCTAAATATCGTAACTGAAAAATCTAGGGTTTATCGATCATATGGAAAATTTCCACCTAATATTAAGATGTTAATTAATGGCAAATTTTTTACATATTATTACCTTGGAAATTCTGAATTTCGAATAATCTTCTGACCATACTTTCTCCACTGGTAGCCGTCACCAAAGGGCGAAATAGTTACTATTCTCTTCGAATTTTGTGTTGATCTCCTGTTTTACAAAAGAAAATTGAAAAGCAAATATGTCATGAAAACAAATCGCAATATTTTCAGCAAAACCCCACTTTGTTAGAAACTATATATACCTCTTTCTTTGCTCTCTCGGGTTCGGGTTCTCCACACGCAGACGCTTCCCTCCCTTGTCGGGTCTCGGATCCAAATCCTCGGACTCCTTCGGGGAGCCTGCGATCTTCTGGCTAGGGTTTAGGAGGGAGAGGCTAGCTTCAACAGCTCTCATGATTCCTTCACTTAACTCCCTCACGGTATCTGTTGCATCGCCGTTGAGGAGCCAAAACTGAGCCATCAAAATCTTTGCTTTTGTGAGCTCTTGAACCGCTGAGTGTTCCATCAAAAACTAGCCAATTTCCTTTTTTTTTCTTCTTCTTCTTCTTTTTGGGAACTGATTTCAGTTGGTGATCTTGAACTGAAATATATAGGTTTGAAGAAGATTCTTGGAATTAAGAGGTGGACGCGTAAAGAAAATGACATGATGGAAAATATATAATGGCAATTTTTAACGTAATTAATGAAGAGAAGTCACTTGCTGCTTGAAAACAAAACAAAGAAAGACTTTGCAGGCCACATCCACGTGGACTTTTTTGAATAGGGAAGGGGAGTAGCGCGTAGATCCGTCAGACAGTGAGTCAGAATAAAGCTTCTAGTCTTGTCTTTGTATAGTAATTAAGACTAATTGCAGAGGCATATAGTCTGTTTGGACTAACGACCTAGTTTTTATTAGAATTACTCGCCTAACTTAGATTATTCTAGAACGACTTTTTAGAACTTCTTTCTAGTAACATCCTACAAAATATCTATCAAGAAGTTTCTAAGAAGATACAAGTAGTGTATGGCTAGTATTTATTCTTCTAGAAACTTCTTACTAATGTATGGCTAGGATTAACTCTTCCACACACTTACTAGCCCTCTTAAACAACTATAAATAGGGGTCTTGGGCTCTTATTTGTGTAAGCAAGCAAGAAGTAAGCTTAAAAGCTTGAGTGTGTAGTGTAGGCTTGTGTGAGTGTTCACCAAAATAAAAAATTGTGTGAAAGTGAGGTGCTCTTGTAAGAACAAGTATTGTACTCGCTAGTGTTCTATCAATAAAAGTTTTCTTTGTGTAGAGGGTTGTGTTCTTCAAATTCCATCAAAGTGGTATCAGAGTCAGGTTCGATCTAGCCGGGCCAATCGAAGGTGCTCGTGTACGAGATGACGAATATGGTCCAGCCACAGATTCCTAAGTTGATGAAAACCAATTACGACAACTGGAGTATCCAGATGAAAGTCTTGCTCGGTTCGCAAGACTTGTGGGAGCTCGTGGAGAATGGCTACACTGAACCAGAGTCACCTGCAGCAGAAGTAACTCTCACCGCCACACAGAAGAATGAGCTGAAGGAGGTCAGAAAAAGAGACAAAAAAGCTTTGTTCCTAATATTCCAATGCGTAGATGAATCTGCGTTTGAGAAGATTTCCAACGCCCTGTCCTCTAAAGAGGCATGGGAGATTTTACAAAAATCCTATCAAGGTGCGGAAAGAGCCAAAAAGGTATGCCTCCAAGCATTAAATTTTACAAAAATCCTATCAAGGTGCGGAAAGAGCCAAAAAGGTATGCCTCCAAGCATTAAGAGTTGAATTTGAAAATTTGAAGATGAAAGCTGGCGGAAAGAGCCAAAAAGGTATGCCTCCAAGCATTAAGAGTTGAATTTGAAAATTTGAAGATGAAAGCTGCAGAATCAATATCAGACTATTTTAGTAGAGTTCAGACAATAACTAATCAAACGAAGGGAAATGAAGAAGCAACTAATGATGTAAGAATTATGGAGAAGATACTTAGGACTGTAGACTCTAAATTCAAATATATTATTCCGGCAATACAAGAGTCTAAAGATCTCTCCGAAGTTTCTATTGATGAGCTACAAGGTTCTCTGCAAGCTTATGAACAAGATATAAATATCAGTTCAAATCAAGCGGGGAATCTAGAGCAAGCCTTGCAGAGTAAGATGACTATCAAAGAAGATAGTCGAAGAGGACATGGAGGCTACAGAGGCAGAGGCTCCTTTCGAGGTGGCTCAAACTTCCAGCAAAGTCGTAGGAGACGATACCAAGGAGGCCATGAAAATCAAGATCAAAATAAAGATCGTGAACGATCATTCGATCCAGGACGAGGTCGTGGCACACGAGGAAGAGGACAAGAAAGAAGTTACCAGGCGGATAGATCTCAGCCACAGTGTTACAAATATAAGAGATACTGCCATCTTAGCTACGAATGTTGGGAGAAATCAAATCAAGTGGCAGAAAGAAATAACTTTGTAGAAAGGGAGCAGCCAGACACTTCAACAGTCTTGCTGATGTACCAGGAGAGTGAAAGCAAGAATAAAGATATCTGGTATCTGGATTCAGGTACCAGTAACCACATGTACGGAATCAATGAGTTTTTCACCGAGCTGAACGAGACGGTACAAGGAGATGTCACCTATGAAGATCAGTCAAAGATTCTAGTGAAAGGCAAGGGCAAGATAATGATCCAGACAAAGACGGACGAGAATAGGTACATCTCTGACGTCTATTATGTTCCAGCACTACGAAATAATATTTTGAGTTTAGGCCAGCTCCTTGAAAGAGGCTATGATATACATCTAAAAGACCTCGTCCTCACTATCAAGAATAAAAATGAAGTAATTGTAAATGTGAACATGTCTCGAAATAGACTGTTTACCTAAAATATTCATACTGACCCTGTTAAGTGCTTAAAGATGATTATGAAAGATGAGTCTTGTCTCTGTCATTTGAGATTCGGGCATCTCGCATTCAGGAGCCTAAATCTTCTGTGGAAGGAGAAAATTGTGAAAGGATTGCCGCAAATCAACCATCTGAACCAGCTATGTGAAGGTTGTATGAAGGGCAAGCAACATAGAAGAAGTTTTGAAGTTGGAAAGTCAAGAAGAGCAACAGAGCTACTACAATTGGTCCACACAGATATTACAGGACCATTTGAAGTCGTCTCTCTTGGAGGAAATATGTACTTTCTCATATTTATTGATGATTATAGCAGAAAAACTTGGGTTTATTTCCTGAAGGAGAAACCCGAAGCTCTGGAGAAATTCAAAGAATTCAATGAGATGGTAGAAAAGCAAAGTGGATACCACATCAAAGTGCTCCGATCAGATCGAGGTGGAGAATACACTTCGAAGGTATTCAACAATTTCAACAAGCAGTACGAGATAATTCATCAACTCAATGCCGCCTACACACCACAGCAGAATGGCATAGCAGAGGGAAGAATCATACCATTCTTGATATGGTCAGAAGCATGTTGAAAAGCAAGTAGACTTACTGGGCTGAAGCCATGGACTGTATTGTTTACCTCCTCAACCGATGTCCGACAAAGAGCATCAAGTTCAAAACACTATTGGAGATGTGGAGAAACATCAAGCCAAGTGTCAACCACCTAAAGGTGTTTGGGTGTATTGCATATGCACATATCCCGGAGCAGAAAAGAAAGAAGTTGGACTATCGAGGAGAAAAAATGCATATTCGTTGGGTACGAGAGGAGGATAAAAGCATACAAGCTCTACAGTCCAGTTACAAAGAAGATGATCATTTCAAGAGACGTGGAGTTCGATGAAGAAGATTATTGGAAATGGACCGATGAAGACAAAAACATTAAAGGTATGTTCTTTGAAGATAATGATGATGACTTGCAGGAGGTTGAAAGACCAGAACAAAGTCTATCAAATAGTCCAGCTCCATCAACCTCAACATCGACGCCGACATCATCACCATCCAGCTCAAGTGAAGGAAGCTCTTTAGGGGGAGCAACAAGGAGGACGATAAGTCTAAGAGATCTGTACCACGATACAGAACCAGTCGAGATGATGGATGACTACACACTATTTTGCTTGTTTGTAGAATGTGATCCAGTCAGCTATGAAGAAGCTGCTCAAGAAGATAAGTGGAGAAAAGCCATGGATGATGAGATTGAGGCAATCAAGAGAAATGACACATGGGAGCTCACCACCTTACTTGAAGGCCATAAACCCATTGGAGTAAAGTGGGTGTATAAGACAAAGATAAATCATGACGGCGGAATCGAGAAGTACAAGGCCAGGCTTGTTGCAAAGGGCTATACTCAGCGAGAAGGAGTTGACTATGAAGAAGTGTTCGCACCAGTCATAAGGATCGACACCATTCGACTCATTATCGCATTGGCAATACAAAACCGGTGGAAGATCTATCAGATAGACGTGAAGTCAGTATTTCTTAATAGCTATCTAGAAGAAGAAGTCTACATCGAGCAACCACCTGGGTATGCGATGAAAAATAAAAAAGACAAGGTCTACAAGCTGAAGAAGGCATTGTATGGACTGAAGCAAGCACCCAGAGCGTGGAATGCTAGAATCGATGCATACTTCCAGAAGAACGGATTCCAGCAGAGTCCGTATGAGCACTCTCTCTATACCAAGAAGAAGGATGGAGACATTATGATCGTATGTCTCTACGTGGACGACATGATCTTCACTGGTAACAATCCAAAAATGTTCGAGGAGTTCAAGAAGAACATGATCAAGGAGTTCGAGATGACTGACATTGGAGAAATGTCATATTTTCTTGGAGTAGAAGTGTCACAATCTGAGAGAGGAATCTTCATCTCTCAGAAAAAGTACGCAAAGGAGATCATTCGGAAGTTAAACATGAACAACTACAAACCAGTTGTAACTCCTGTCGAAGTTGGAGTGAAGCTGAGGAGAGACTCACCAGGAATCTCTATTGATCCAACTTTGTATAAGAGCTTAGTCGGAAGCCTACAGTACCTGACCATCACAAGACCCGACATAATGTTTGCGGTTGGACTGGTGAGCAGATTCATGGAGGAGCCAAGGCAAGAACACTTCAAGGTGGCCAAGAGGATTCTCAGGTATGTTCAAGGAAGCATTAATGAAGGATTATTTTACTCACAAAGTGTAGATCCAAGACTAGTCGGTTACACCGACAGTGACTATGAGGGAGATTTGGATAAAAAAAAGAGTACATCCGGCTACATAATCAGCATTGGATCAGCAGCCTTTTCTTGGTCATCAAAGAAGCAGTCAGTTGTTTCTCTATCAAGTTGCGAAGCGGAATACATTGCTGCATCTGCAGGTGCATGTCAAATGATATGGCTTAGAAATCTAATGAAGGAGTTGCAACACCAACAAGAACTGACAGAGATTCTTATCCACAATAAGTCAGCTATTGCACTTGCCAAAAATCTGGTAGCACATGGACGAAGCAAACATATAGAGACAAGATATCATTTCATCCTATATCAAGTTAAAAGGAAGACCGTGATGCTGACATATTGCAAGTCTGAAGACCAAATCGCTGACATCTTCACCAAGCCACTAAAGATAA